CATATCACCATATTCATATCAAAACTAAAGAATACCATAATTTGTACAAATGATAATTTATCCTTAACACAAAGATGAAAAGCTTGTAGTTATTTATGGAATAAACATAGTTTGACTTGTATTCCCCCCCCCCCCTAAAACATAGAATAACTTGAAAATATGGGGGTATGAAGCTCACCTTGAGTAGTTGAAGAGTGTAGTTGAAGTGATGAGAGGGAAAGTTTGATCCTAAACACTTGGAGTGTTTGATGGACTTGTGAAGATTATGATGCCCTAGAGATTTTAACACATAAAGTTATGTGTAAATAAAATGAAAATGACAAGATAAGATGTACATCCATTGACCAAGTTTGAATCACTTACGTGGGTGTAGGGAAGAGCCTTTGAGAAATTTGTGTTCTAAGAGTGTGATGCTTGAATTCTCAAAGAATAACTTGAGATTTCTCAGTAAATGAAAATGAGGAAATGTGTTATGGAAAAAGGGGTTTACGCTCTTAATGAAGAGGGTGAAAGTTGACAAGATGTTTGCTTGGGTTACTGGGGGATTTGGCTTAGTTATTTGATGGTCAATACGTGTTTAACCAGGATTGCTTTGGAAATGGTTGAAGTTTCTTACCCTAAAGTCAATTATTTTTGTCTTTTCCTCAATTCCAATCCGTAAACACCTTAAAATATCTGAACATGGTAGTAAACACAAAGTGTTTTATGGCCTAGGATGGTCCTAGCCTTGAGTTTACGCCTCATGTGTGGTCCCCCATGGAGTTTACGCCCAAGTACTTGCTTCCTATGGTGTTTACGCCCTAGCTTAGGCCACTAGGAGGTGTTTACACCCAAAGATCAATTCTTAAAGTAGTTTACGCCCAAGTAAGGTCCACTAAGGGGTGTTTACACCCTAGGATCATTCCTAGGATGGTGTTCATGGCCAAACATGGCCCAATGAAAAGAGTTTATGGTCTTAGATGGTATCCTTAAGTGTGTTTACGTTTTGGATGATTTGTATATGTTTCTAGTGCTTAGAAAGCTCAAAATGATGGCCTTAAAGTTCAAGCATTAAAGATTGCAACATAACACAATTTCTTATATCTATATCATGTGATTCTTAATCAAATCCATTTGTCTAGTCTTGTCTTGATAAACTTGTTTACTTTCAAGAGATTACCTTGTATGTGGCTTCCAAAGTGTACACTTTCATGTGCAAGCACCTATGCCCTTTTAGCTTTCAAGGTTTTCATTGTAATAGGGTTACAATTTAGATCTTGCTTGATTCAAAACTTTTGGGTTGTCACATCATCCCCTCGTTAGAGGGAATTTCGTCCCGAAATTCAAATTCTCAATGGAATATCAAGGGTTGAATACCTGGAATATGAAATGTACGAAGTTGAGTTCTTATGGTATCTGAAGGCTATAGGTTACCAAACCTATCCTAGCGAGGATCTCGAATGGTCTTCTGAAGATTGTGCTCCTGGTGTCCTAGAAGTAGTGTTCCTAGGCCTTAAGGATTGGCACTATTGCTACCAAGGTTAACGTTTTGTGTGGTGCATCTGGCCTTATAAATCCAAGGTTGCCTTGGGCGTTTTCTTCCTACGGAATTCTGAACTAGTGGAATGTCGACCATTGCTTGATTCTTAGAGTTAGCTGAGTGGTATGTCGGTTCGGAATGGGGAAATAGATCCTTGACGATGGGTTTGCTTGACTCTTAACAGTCAGTGGTCTCATGGGCACTCCGCTTTTCCTCCTTCTGAGTCAGACGGGTGTTTTTTGAGGTTAGGGGCTTGTTCTGATAATTCCCTTACTTATTAGGTCGTTCTATTGATCGGACAATATATGTTCTTGTCTTAGTGCTAAGTGGCTTCGGGGGTTTGATTACTGGAATGGTTCCAAGGGTCGAGTCGATTCCGAACTCAACTTATCACATGGGAATATTTTCGAAGGAATTTTGGGAACATCTGAGGGAGGTTGTAAACCTCTGGGATTCCCTTGATGTCTTTGTTTCTTGTTTCTGATCTTTATTGGGGCTAGAAAGGAGCGTGGTATCTCTTACATAAGTACTCACTTGCCTAATTTCTACATATGTTTCGGGGACTTGTCGTTATATGTTGAAAGAGTTTTGTTAATTGATTGGGTAAGACGGAAGGTCTCTTTGTAGTGCTTGAAGATATTGAGAGGAATCATGTCAGTCTGTGTCAAGTGACGACGTTGGACTTCTTATTGTAACAGATGTTAAGTTGGCTTAAAAGGTTAATGATTGTTTATAATGATAATGTATCCTACGCATAAATCCATGATGCCTCCGGTTTTATCCTTGTTATTATTACTGCAAACATTTCATGATGTAATCCTTACAAGGTTTTTCTATAATTGCTTGGTGTATACAGGTCCTGTATAATTAAGGTTGAGAAGACAGTCGACTGAGTAACTCTTCCCTAAATCCACAATCAAACAAGAAGCATGAAATAAGGCGGAATCACTCACTCTAAGCCTGCTGAGTCATAACTATGTATGACCCTAACGTATACACTAAGCCATCATAGCTCACCTGTAAAGATCCTTAGTTTTTATATGAATGATGTGTTTTGTTCGGACAAGAGAGTAATTTACAATTTATTATTATAAATTTAAGCTTTAAATAATTTTATTGGGAAACATAGCGCTGCTCACAGGTGACTCTGGGAGGGTCTCTCCTGCGGTGATCATAAGCACTCTTCCATCTCCGCCAGAGTTCTTTGTTATCGGGAAATCCCTTTTGTAGTGTCCTGTTTTGCCACACCCATAACAGGATTGGATTACTCCGACGCATGGGACTTGGGAGATTGGTTGTGCTGGTGCCCTACAGAAATGGGTGGTGTGCCCCTTCCTATTGCAATTTCTGCAATGCATCTCCCGACAAACTCCAGTGTGATGAAAGTTACACTTGTTACACTTCGGAAGGTTTCCAGCGTAACGACTGGCGGGTGCTGGAGTGACAGGGGTTATGGCAGCATGAACAGCAACAATCTTCTGTTTCTTCGGGGGCTCTTGTGTTGGTTGTCCCTTTTTCTTGCTCAAGACTTCCGCTTATATTTATTCTCTTTGGATATTTCAGGAACGGGGGCCATCATACCTTGGCGGACTCCATGGTCCACGAGGGTTTGTGCCAGACGCTTGGCACTATCGAAAGTGAGTGGGTTGGCAGCTATCACATTCCCTTGGATCGGAGGAGTTAGTCCCCAAATGTATCTCTCCACTTTCTTACTTTCTGGAGTGAACATTCCGGGACACAGAAGAGCTAAGTCACTGAATCTAGCTGTGTAAGCAGTAATGTCGGAGTCTTTCATCGTCAGACTCCAGAGCTCTTGTTCTAGTTTTTGTACTTCGCTTCTCGGGCAGTACTCTTCCATCATCATGGCTTTTAAGTTCTCCCAGCCCATTGAGTTAGCCACTACAAGGGTCAGTGACTTGACATGGCCATTCCACCATGTAAGGGCCCTGTCGGAGAAGGTGCAGGCAGCAAACTTCACTTTGCTCCCTTCTGGGCACGCGCATATTTCAAAAATCGACTCCGTTTTCTCGAACCATCGCATTAGTGCAATGACTCCCCCGCTTCCAATAAAGGATTTGGGTTTGCAATTCATGAAGTCTTTATATGTACACTCCCTAGGGTGTACGTGGCTATTTTCATGGTTAAAGTTGTTGGTACCACTTCCTGCTCCGCCGGCACTACTTGCGTTGATATGAGTCATGGCGGCTACTACGGCGGTAGTCACCGCAGTCTGAAACATAGCGGGGTCATATTTAGGGGGTGGCGGTAGTGGATTTGTTGTTGTGTTGTTGTTACACCTGATATATCTACGAGGCGACATCTTTCTGTCATAGAGTTTTAAATATGAAAGGTTGGTAAGGTATTGGTAGTGGTTATAAATCGAATGTCATAAACTAGGTCATTATAGTTTTGTGTGTATCATGCTCCGAAAGGGTTTTGTAAACCATTCATAACAGAAGTCTATGTGAAAATAAACTTATGAATTTTCAATAGTGACCACCCTTACTGAATTTTCGTGACCTGATTCGTAGTTATTAGTTGTGACGAAAGACGTTATAAATCTAACACATAGTTTGAGTAGTTATATCAATTTCTTAGTTGTTAGTGTGACATATATAGTGCTCTCTAGTTTGTTCCTAATAGGGTGAGGTTTGTTAACGATTTCTCTAGTGACTTTCTTCTCGTCCGATCCTTTCTCGGAATTCTCCTCGTGAACCCTCTTTTAGTTCTGTCTCGACTCCTCTGTTGGTTTTTTGCGATGTTTGGGTTATAGGGATGTAGGGATTGATTTTTGTGTGTGTACCGAGTGATTATTGTGAGAGGAATGGAGCATTGACTTATCTCTTTTTCTTTTTTTATGTTTGGGTCCACTACCACTGATCGGATTTGTATGTGAATCAATATTTTGGGTCTAAGGTGACTTAAAAGAGAATGGCACATTATTGTTGGGAAATGGCCCAAAATATCCCAGTGGAACTAATTTCTCCAGTGACCCAAAAGAATGTATTACAGGTGGCCTATTTATAGGAGTGTGAACCGTGGTGGTTCCAATGGTGTATTGACTAGAGACTCTTCGTTGCCAATCTTCCCGGTTATCGATGTCGTTGGTAGTGGTGCTGCAACCGCCGGAGTATGATGATCTGCTGGCCTGACATTGTTCGCCGCCATGTCCTCCGTTCGAATTTCTCCTTCTTCTACTTCATCCTTCTCGTCCTCCATCCATGTTTTAGAAATTCCTTATGTATCATCTTCATCCTCCTATAATTCATCTACCTTATTGAATGGAGGAGGTTTAAATGGAGACAATCATCCGTGTACTCCACAATGCCAACCTTGAATTCTTGGCCATTGGAGTTAATAGTGATTTCATCGTTGATCCACCTTCTTGCTGAAGTGAGTACACCGACTTTCCCCATTAAATAATCTCTCACATTTGATATACCATCAAATGGGTTTATTAATTTACCGTACCTGCTGGCAATTATTGAGAAATTGCTTTCCTCCACAGCTGTAGAGGGACGCCAATGATCTTGAACCATACAACTTTTTCGTAATCCATGTCATGTTGGTCTGCCATAACCAACCACTTAAACCGATCTTTCCACCGGTTTTTATCCATTAAATACTCTATTGCTTCTGCATACCACCGGAATTGAATAGCCACTTTTAGGCCACCCAGATACTTCATTTCTTTTTTCACGATTCCAAGGGTATGGAGGTTAGACATATGATCAAAACTGTGTTTTTCTCCAATTAGTACTCCTTTCTTGAACCAAATTTTCATGAACATGCCATGATTTAAAGTAATCGAAGGGATGTCTTGTTAAGGTTTTGTATCATTGATGACTAGGGCATATTTATAGTTACTTCTTACCTCCGCGTATTGAGGTTGGGCTCCATGATAGGTGCTAGTTTGCATGTTCTTTCTTAGTGTGGGATGATGGCATGTTTCTTGGTGTTGATGTTGAGAGGTTTTACGTTGGTGTTTTGAGATATTTACCTCCAGTGTCTTGTTTTTGCACTTGATGCGCTATAGCTTTAGTTCTAATTATTTAGCGTATCTGATGCCAACATATATGATGAAAGCATAGTTCCTATTGTAGCAATCTTTCTTCAATCAAAAGTATATTTCCACTACCTTCCCGAATATGCTAAGTGGCTCGTGTAATTCCTCACTTCTTATACCGTCGGGGAATCCCGTCGCATAGTAGTTTGTGAGTTCTTTGATCCTTTGAAGTGTGTTGCCATTTGTTAACGTATGGTCCATTAGTATGGTCCAGAAGTCAAGAATTTATGTGTCATCCTTGCTTGGCTCTCTCCTAGCGCTCGCCTTCCAACTTTGTCTGGTGCCCTTTCCTGGGGCGTGGGCGCTCTTTCCCAGCTCCTTCCTAGTTGGGCTGCCCCAAGGCCTGACCCAAATCTCCCTTGACCTAGTTGTCCTATATAAATAGAATGTTTCCTAATCCATGAGGAAGCAATTTCTAACAAGCTTCTATTCACTTTCTCTAACCTAAAGCCTCCATGGCTAAACACACACCCTACACATCAAGATGGTTCTCTCCATCTAGGGAGAACCATCTCACCTCTACCAACCGATCTAACTTGATCGTCGGAGCTTGATCCTGGGGCACAGTCCCTGGGGAAACGCTAACGACTTTGCTGTGACTGCAACTTAGGTATCTTGCCAGAAACTCGCTGACGACACCACCTTCGAATCTTCGATCTGGAACCAACATAGAAGACCCGGTAGCCTGAGCACATGTCGCAACATTTGGCACCATCAGTGGGACCAAGAACGGATAGCTATCGTCTCTTTGTCTCAACCTCATTTTCGCCTCCGATTTGTTTAGATATGTTGTTCTTCGTCTCAGATTTTATCAGATCAATTCATTTCTACCATTATCTGTCCAGATCCGTTCGACTCGCCACGATCTGTCCAAATCTACTTCACGAACGTCCGAATCTCTAGATCTGCTTCGTTCTTTCTTTAGATCTCTGCATCGGCTCCGTTTTTGCATAGATCTCTAGATCAACTTCATCATTTTCACTCAGATCACATGTTACCTACTCACATTTTACTGCTTGGTAAAAAACAGAAAAAGGTAGAATAAATGGCACATGGTGCCTAGTATAAGCCTCGAAAATATCAAGTTACAAATCAAATGTTGTACATAAAATTACAAGAGGTATATGTGTTCTCATTTCTTCCCAATCGACAAAAAAATATAATAATGCTTTGTCTCTTTTGAGCCGGCAAGATAAAGAAAAAAAAGCCGGGGGGGGGGGGGGGGAAAGAAAAGACGGCCAGCACCATCGCATACACACATATAAGCTAGAATACAAACTATATGGGACCCACATGTTTAGAAGACAAACACGCTAGGCCCCACCTTCTTCATCACCATTCTCGAAAAATGACCATTTGAATTCACTTCGCCCATCACCTATAGCAATCGTCAGACAACCTCCAGCAACACTTACCGACGAGCCAGCTAGGCACCACCATCATCGCCGCTAATCTCTACCAGTTCCGACAAAGCACCTCTTCCAGTACCTCGTTGCTCCGAGCAGATCCACCAGCGCCCCCGGCTCCAACGCAACTCCACCCTCTGATGAAGTAGCACTGCTATGCATCTTCGCCGGTGACCTGACACAAATCACCACCGGTCGCTGCTATCTGCTCCACCAGAGACCTGATCTAAACAATAGTCATATCTTCGACACTATGGTCCGACCCCATCCCCTGCCAACCTCCGATCATCAAGGTCTTTTTTAACTTCTGAAGGGGTCGCCACCAACAACCATCAACAATGATCTCCGACTGGCACACATCATCACCATCGTGCCACCTTCCCCAGCTTGCCGATGACAAATCACGACGATCTGCAAGCTCCGGTCCAAAAATCAACGTCCCCATTCAGATCTGTCGTCGTCAACAGACGCTACAACACCGCTTGCCTTGAGCCGCCGATCTCCTCCGCGATCCCCGTTGGACCACTAGCTCCTCCGATGCCTTATATAGTCATCGATGTTCTACCTATGGGCATTTTATCCAAACAAACAGTGACAGCGAAGAACTGTTGTCTGATCAATTTCATTCCATAAAGTTGAGATAAAAGAAAATGGGCCCCACCTTGTACCCATACGGTGCACACACAAAAAAGAGTATTGTGGGCCTTTCTACAATCTGTTTCAAAGATGAAGAAAATCATCACTGGCCTGCAATGCTTTAAATAGGCCGCTAAATTTTCAGCTTGGGCTCCTATCAATTCGAAAATGGGTTGTGGTCAGTTTGAGCTTTCTCCTAAAATAAGCTAGTCAATGGTAGCTCACCAACAAAAAACTGTACATATTACAAGTTAAGAGTTAGCCACTTTGCGCTCGAATTCCGAAGCTCCACTCAACAAAATACGTTTTCAGAATACGTATTGCGGTCCGGAATCTCAAGACATTTTCACAAAAAAGGGGTGCAGGCTAATAATTTGCAATAGGCCCAAAACTCCCAAGTAGGCCACCATTCTCTCACATTGGCCTCCTCCGTGGACCTAAATTCGAGAATGGGCTGGCATAATTATTTTGGGCTTCCCTTGCATTTGATTTTTCATGAGGCCATATCAACAAGTGAGTTAAGCAGTCCCTTTTTGGGCTCAACAGCTTCCGGGCTCTAACAATTTTTTGGGTTTCCATTAAAGCAAAATCTTAATGAGTTACCTCAACAATGTTAAAATAGGCTAGGACCTGAGTGTTGCAATTCCGTCCAACAAAATCTAATTCCAGAAATTGCATTGCAGTCAAACCAACTCGATTTTTTGCAAAAAAAGAGAGGAAAAGAGCAGTACGCTACTGTTGCTACTCCGCGAAGTGTTTTGAAAAACAACCACGACAGAAAATCTTAATCAGTGTATGATCTCAAGAAAACATACTAACTATCAAACATGAGTGTGTCATATTTTCAAGATAACCGCTCCAATACTGCGACGCTCATAACGCACTGACGGCACGCTCACGAAGAAAAGCTCGGTCAGTAGAGCATTTCCAGGGACTCGCGAAGTGTGCACTGCTGACTAGTCACCCAAATTTTCCCCCAGTGGCCATAGAAATATAATCCTCTACCCGATGCTAGCTGCGGATCTCATCCCCATCGTCAGGGCGCGTGCGGTTTTCCTCTAATAGTGTTTCTATGGACAACTTTCGACCATGGGAACCACAGACCAAGCATGTTGCATTTATCTACGGACCTCGGAGCTCGACGAAACAACCACATCAAATAGAAGTCTCAAAGATTGCATGACGAGACCATGCTTCTCAGCAACCCTTGCATGTGTCCGGTACATCTCTACTATTCTACGAAGCGTTCCCGAACATTATCCCGAAAGAAAGGCTCAGATTGAAAACCGACGTCAGACACACATCGACCTACTTTGGATACAATGTCTACCTGTCTTTCTTTTCTCAAGTAAATCAATACCCTACATATCTACATATTATCTCCATTTAGTAAACTAAAAATATTTACCAAAACTTTATCATGGCATTCGTGGCATGCATTTACCTTCAGGAAGTTAAAGTATTTATGCAACAAACACCAACCTTCTATACATAGTAGAAAATCTTTTTACCACAACATCTTATTTTCATATGAAAAGATGCCACATTTTGATAAATGAATTGACAAACAGTTTTCAATTTAATTAAACGATTTTGCTATCATTAGTGCTTAGCTACCGATTGCATACTATTGAAACAATTTTACCCAATATACAAGTATTTTACCTTAAAAGCTCACACAAAGGCACATGCTGTGAACAATTTCCAAAACATACGCTTGGGTACACTTTAAATACCATCATCATGTATTTATCGTACTATTAATTACATAGTATGGAGCTAGATAACTTACTATTATCATTTGCAATGGCATGCACAAACGAACGAGGCTCAAATGTGCAAGCACAATCCAATACATACAAAACAACTCAAGTTCATCCACACTAGTACCTAATACTAGAAAATCACCTACAAACATGGCGAGGTTTGATGGGATACCAATATCCAATACAACCATGCTTCTAGCAAAACCGCGAAAACATTGCCTTGTTGATCGCCATCAAGTTGTTAACAAGTCACACAACACATTACAAATGGCAAAGTCTTATATACACACACTCACACACCCCTTCGGGTGAATCAGCAGTGTAGAGGAACAAACCATTCTCACTCCTCACCCTTTATAAAAAAAGGGGAGTAGAAGGGTCGGCACAACACTATGCAGAAGTGTTAACTCTATTTCAAGTAAAGAGCTGAACTACAAGCGGACATTGTATATGATCGTGCATCCCGAAAATACATTAGTGTTATAAATGAAGGAGCAGCTTCACGACCCACGCCTTAATGGCCGCATTACCCGAATCCCAACATCCGTGTTGACCATTCCTGGCAATCTCACTGCGCAAAGCTCTCAACAGTTGCACTACCCGGTCCTCAACAACCTTGTTGTCCAGCTCGCAGTAGCCTCAGCTCTCGGTAAACAATATCACTATGATCTCGTCTTGGTGCAAAACACTACCATTGCTACATAAATCACGTTTCTAACAAGCAATTTGCATTATGTACAACCCAAGACAGAGAGGGACCGATTGTCACTACGACCAATGATGTAGCAAAGCATCGAGTGTCGTTACATTCTGGTCGAACCGACCACTCGGGAAGGGCACATAAATTGAAGTCTGCTAAGCCCAATCTTGCTAAAGGTTTAGAAGGTTCATAACCCTTCCCTTGATTCACTTGGTT